GTGGAAAATAATCTAAATATCTAAATATCGTTAGTTGACCCTCGTGAAATGCGGCTTTGCCCCGCTGTCCGTTCTGTGCTTCTCAGCCGCCACGGCCACTTCGACAAAACAATCGGATGTGCTTTGTCAATGCAATTATGGATTTGTACCAAGGAATATCGCAAAGATTTATGAGGAACCATAGTGAGTTGGGCAAAAACAAAGATTTTACAATTAATGTTGAATCGAATTATGGTTTAATTTAAGCCGTTTAAGCTAAACCTGAGAATTTTGTGAACGCCAATAGGTATGCAACGGAAAAAATGGGATATTTTGGTGAATTTCAGTCTGATCTTTTTCATTTTCATATCATTTGACGCAGAATTTCATTTTCTATCGATCGAAATTAAAGACAAAAAGATTAGAATGAAATTGGTCAAGCATCGAAAACGTCGACACCAAAAATTCCCAAGTCTAGGTCTAGTTTAAGCATTTGGAAAGCCAAAGAACGAATTTCTTGACTTTTTCTAAAACCTCTTTCATTTTCTATCGATTGAAATTAAAGACAAAAAGATTAGAATTAGAATTGGTCAAGAAATGGCATCGAAAAGGTGCACACCAAAAATTCCCAAGTCTAGTTTTGGATTTGGAAGCATTTGGAAAGCCACAGCCACGAATTTCTTGACTTTTTCTAAAACCTCTTTCATTTCTAATCACTAATAGAACCTTTTTTATACATAGGATTTTTTTTACAGCCATTTGGCGAATCGTGTCGTTTCTCGATCGTTGGATGAGCTCGTTGCCCCATTCCGTCAAATGAGTCTCCGAGAAGAGGAAGTTGTGCTGATGAAAGCGATTTTGTTATTGAATCCACGTAAGTTATAAGATTTATGAGAATTATTTTGGAATTTTTAGCTAAAAACAATCGAAAAGCTATCAAAAACCTATCAAAAAAAGCTTTTCATTTTCCAGAAGCCCGTCCCCTCAGCTTTGACGCGCAAGAAGCAGTCGCAGATCTCAGAGATCGAATCCAAGAGACTCTATATCATGTGGTAAGTGAAATTTTTCGATTTATAACTAAAATATTAGAAGTTATAACTAAAATACTTATATTTTATTTAATTACAATATTATTTAGGTTCGAGAAACCCATCCAAAAGAAGTCGCGTCGAGTCGTTTCGGGAATTTGCTGTTGTTTCTCCCGGCTGTATATGTAAGTAGTTAACTGCCTCTGGAGTTTGGCAGATTATTTGGATTTTGGTCTAATGATTAGCACAGTTCCCCGGTCCACAAAGCGTGTAATGGTTAGCATTTTGGTCTAATGATTAGCACAGTTCCCCGATAAGCGAAAGATCGGGGGTTCGAGTCCCGGCAGCGCACAACTTTTTGATCTCTCACACTTAGTTCCAACTAAGTGGCCTAAGTGCCTAAATTTACTGTTAGAATTTTACTAATAAATGATAAATAGATAATTCTAGATGATTGGGAATATGGTTGTGGAAAATCTTCAATTCGTCGACTCGATCATGCACCAATTGGTCGATCCACTGATGCGGGATTTCCTTGCGCTGCAAGATGAGGAAAATGATACGCATGGATTGAATGCTGAACAGGTGAGAGCAAAAAAAAAACCCCTATCAACTCTAGCATAATCGAAATTTCGAAGAAGTTTGAAAGCTTTGAGCTATCCAAATACAAATAATGGCTATGCTAACAATTGCTGCATTGCTAACAATTTCCACCGAAATCCCATTTAAGGTGTTGGACGAGCGTCCCCTCTCCTCAACGCTCTCCCATTCGGCCTCCTCGTCATCGCTCGATTCATTGGGCAGTCATACAAGTCACAGCAGTCATTCATCCCAACAATCTCATCCATCAAATCCCTCACCCAATCATTTCCAGAATGGAATGTCCTACAAGTTGGTTCTTCAAGAACTTTGATATAACAAACTGATCTTTCAGCCTCTCTTCCTCATCACTTCCGGGAATGGTTTCACAATACAGTGAAAATGGTCTAAACGCAGCCACCTCAATGCCAAATCTTGGCCCAATGGGAATGATGAACGGAAATGGAGAGGTTGTGGCAAATCAACAAATGGTAAGTTTGCTAAATCTATCTAAATATCGAATCTATCGAATCCATTCAAGAATGACAACGATGAGGACTACAATCTGACGCTGACACCGGATATGGCGACCGGGATTCGACAAGCGATGTCAATTGCGCACAATTTGTCCGAACATGGGATGGATCAAGGTGAGACGTGAAGGAGATTCATGTCTACTTCCAGTTGGAACTAGAACAGATCAAAAGCTTGTGCGGGGCTCGAACCTGCGGCGTTTCGCACATCGGGCAACTATAGCGCTGATCTGATCAGCTTAGCAACTATAACGGTGCTAATCTGATCTCCTTTACTCCAAAGGGAGTTAACGGTTACGCTATAGTCGACGAATATCTCTCGATCAAATTCCTCATCACCCATTTGCAGGTATGGAAGTCGATGCACAATCTCAACCGCTGCTTGCCCAACAGTCGACTCATCTGCAACCTCCACAACCCCATCATCCTCAGCAACAATCCCATCATACTCCACCCGAATCCCCAATGGATCGTCCTCAGTTTTTCATTTCGACCGTCGAGAGCACAAAGCATAAATTCACTGTCACCACATCGTTTGACAGGTACGGGAAATGAAATGAAATCACCGAAATCATTCAAATCGGCTATTATGAAAAGCTATGAGTAAAATATAGAACTCTATACAATTCAGATACCCAAACGCTAACTATGGAGTCCCACCGACGGTCGGAGTTGCCTCGAGTCCCTATTTGCCACAAATGAACGGTGAGTCGGCTAGGAGCTCTGTACAATAGTTGTCAAAGTTACCTTTGTTACCCTAAGCCATCTAACACCTTCATTTGTTAACTTAACTTTTTAATCAATACTCATCTCCATAGAAATCTACAATTCCCGACTTTCAGCTCCTCAACAACCCCTTTCTCGTACAAATTCCCTTCCACCTCATCAACAATTCCCATCAGTTCCAATTTACACCCAACAACCGCCCACTTTTGCTCAACCTCCACCACAAAGTATGAGCATGGAATTCGAGGAAAACTATTATAATCGTTAAGTACAAAATATCGCTGAGATTCTTTTTTTTTCTGTTGTTACTATTTTGTTACCAAATGAGATTGCTCAAATACTTTGCCCACTCTTTCAAATCAAAGAAGAAAATCACCCATTGATATTGCTCTCAAAATGCTGGTCTTTGTCGAAATAGCTGGTTGTGCCAAATATTGTTTTCAAAGATTACCGTAGTCCCCGCTTGAATCAACAGTTATATGATGGATGTCCGATTATAGGCATTACGGTAACCTTATCCAAAATTTTATAATTTTATACCTAAACAAAACTTTTGTGATGTTTGCATTTTCTTGCCTGAAATCCGCTAGTTCCCATAGAATCAAAAGTCCCAAAGACAAAATATGAATTGATTCGTCCGTGTACCCGCACAAAAAAATTATCATTTTCTCGTGTCTTTCTTTGTCGAATTTCTCTGAAAATAAACATTTTTTTTCTTGAAATGTATAACCCCAAAGCAAATTCACAGTTTGTGTCATTTACAATAAATTAGATAGCATCAAGAGAGAGGAAAACTACAAACAAAAAAAGAGAAAGGAAGCTGACTTGGTACATAAAGCATCAAAAAGAAACAAGAGAAGAAAAGGCTCAAGACTAAATTTCCAATCAAAAAGACATTACAAAAAAACAACCGATTTTTGGAAGAGCGGAGGATTTAGGAGAAGAGCAAATATGCAGAAAATAAATAGAGATTGCGGATGAAATTGTGTAAAATTTTGGCAAAACGATAAATTTCACATAATGCACACAAATAGATGGGACAAAGTAACGTGGTTGGTTTCTCTTTTAGATGATTAAAAATTCGGCTTTTAAATGTCGCAACTATTAGAGAAACACACGATACTTGTCAGATTTGAAGGCAATGTAAAAGAGAAAAGGACCTTGTGAAGAAAGCTCGCAAGTTTTATACTTCGGTCTTGCTGCTAGTGTTGCGTCCTTGGGCAAGGATGGCCGATTTGATTTCTTGCATGTTGTTCTCACGATTCTTCAATTCGATCGCACTCTCGATTGTCCTCAAATCGCCGACAACCTAAATAAAAAGAATGATGATATTTCAAATGGGATAAAGGTTTTAGAGAAAAAGTTTAGATGCACTTTAGAACTTCCTGCAAAACACAAAAATGTACAAACATTTTTCAAGTTATTCTTCGAAATTGCTGCTTGTAAATCACCTGTTTGGTCTTTCCAAAGTAGATCTCATTAAGTGTGTGTCGCATCTTCGACTCTTGCTCTTCAATCATTCGTCCAATGTTAACAAGATGAGTGTTGCTCTCATTCACCGGGCAGTCTTGCTCCAACTAAAATGATGATATTGGACGTGCACTTTTTATTATGCAAAAACAAAACTACCATTTTGCAACAAAAGTCTTCACCTAATCTGACAGTTAATTAAAACAAACTTGTCTAGTCATACTTCCACCCAAATTCATCACTCCACTTCCTGGCTTCGATGTTTGCAACCAAAGCATCACCGTTGATGTTAATTTGTAGTGAGCCGTTCGTCCACTCTAAAGCAAAAACATAAATTTGGGGGAAAAGTTGATAGCAAAGCCTCCCCAGGGAAACTAAAATCAGGCACGGTTTATCGTACTTAAACCTAGACTAAACTGAATTGAGAAAATAAATCTAAGCGGGTTGTGTTAAAATTTTGGTTAATCTATGATTTACTATTCGCTTTTGATCATATGAGGAGACGCGTAAGGGCTGAAAAATCGCTGAACGTTTAGGATATGAAAAGTCGAATAACCTTTTCAGCGATATCGATGACATGAATCGAATCCCAGCATCCCTTGATACTCTTTGAACCGTCGCCTTGCTAAATTGTTCAGTTAAATAAATTTAGAAATATAAAGTTCACCTTTTTGATGAGCACAACCCCAGCGAATCCAGTGTTGAGATCCCAGAAATAAACTGAAGAGACACCACCCTCAAAGTACCTAAAAATAAAAATGTTAGTTTTTATGATTTATAAACTTGATAAGTCCCATAATCAAAAACTTATTAAAGCTGAACTTGAATAGTTATTGAAAAAATTTTTAAAGAGCTTTGTTTGTCTCTCAAAAAGGCGCAAACAATTACCAGCTGTTTTACGCAAAACTTTTACGTTATGCTTACTACAAAGAACCACAAAAAACCTACAAATCACGATATGCCTCAAAAGCAGCATTTGCCTCAATCTCGAGCGTTCGCAGCTTAGTCGTTGGCATGTGCCCATCGGCAAGTGGAGGGTCGTACTCGTTTGTCCATGGAGATCTAGAAATAACAAAATGTTATAAAGATTCATTCACAAAATATATTCTACTAGCTAGATATTCCTCGATGGGCAAAATACCACAAGAACCAAACATTCTTGCATAAAATTTAGCAGAGCATCTTTGCAAACTCTACGCGGTTTCAAAACTGAACCTGTAGCTGTCCCCATCGCGATTATAGTCACAAAGAAGATATTCCTTGCCGGTCTCACGATCCTTTGCGACACGAAGCGGTTGATCGACCTAGAAATCTATTGGTCAGTAAACAGAACAAAAAAAGTCGAAAACAAGCTACGCTACATGCAAAACATACTATATAAAAATGAAAAAAATAATCACAAGGAAAATTCGCGATTTACTTTGATATAATTGATAAGTGTTTGCTTAGGGACATCACAAACATCGCTAGGGGATCTCAAATATTTGGTCAAGGATTTTTCTACCTTTCTCTATACTTTCGACTATACTAACGACAACAACCTTAACAAAAAAAAAACACTTAAAGTTGTGCATATATGTAATCCTCTCCCCAAAATATCCAACGAAAAAACAAAACAAACCATTGAAAGAAGATCATCCATTAACGATGGCACCAAATCGATTAAATCTAGATAAACTTTGTTAAAAGATGAGAAAATTTTTAAAAAAAACCGTTGAGATTCTTCTCGCATTGTTGCGGTGGGAGACGTCTCATCAAGTCCAATGCACAATCCAACTGTTGCTCGCTCTAAACAAAAAAAAATTTAGGCAAAATGGCAAATTCATCATGCAACTTTTATATCTCAAGGTAATTTAACAAAACTATTTTATCGGTTTTTAACTTCAGTGAAATAAACACGAAAGCCAAAAACCTCACCATTTTCGTGTCCACCAGGCAGTCCAAGTCGAGCCAATCCTGAAATGAAACAAACGTTTAAAAGTTAAATGATTGGGTGGAATTAAAGAAAGAAGAAACGGTAAAAGCGCTAGATAACAAAGATTAGTGAAAGTTATACGTATTTTTGAACCAAGCATTGAATGTTTTTGGTGATGATTAAAACTTTGTTAGTCTTTTTAAGCAAAAGATGCAGAATTGTTACAAGAACGCATAGTTTAAGCTAAAACATTGAAACGAACAAGTTGCAAGTAAAAACTATTTTATACAATGGTTCATTTAAATGTGAGTCATTTAACCAAAATCGGGGAAGTCGATCGTAAAGAGTAGTTAATAAACAATCGTTGAAAAGAGAAGGGAAAGGGGAAAGGGGAAGGGATCGTTTAAAAGCCGCAAGAATCGTAGAAATGAGATTGTTGACAGGGGAATCGTTGCGGGACTCTAATCGATCTCGTTTGTCCTCCTCTCGACTCTTTAAAAAGAAGAGAAAAAGAAAAAAAGTATGGCATTCAACCTTTCCTTTTCTTCTTTTCACTCAAACCTCTGCCATTCATGGTTCTTTTCAATATAAGTGTTTCATTCTCAACAGCACTTATCTACTACTACCAGTTTTCTTTTCACACTAATATTGATCCTTTTCGTTGGTGCAAAATTTATCGCCCTTGTTATCGCCCATGCATGGGCTTTGTTTAATCTTTCGGTATTAATAAAGTTCGCGCGGGGAGGGCACTTTGATCTAAATTGGTCAGATCGTATTTTTCGATCGTTTTACCAATCTTATTTCATTTTTTCTGGGGTAATCAAACATCCTGGATCTATTTGTGATATTTTTAGAAAGTTTTGAACAATTTTTGTTAATGTTTTGTTGAGCTAGCTGAAATATAACTGTTGCAGTGCGAAACGCTAGAAAATGAGGCTAGGAGTGAAATACAAAGTGAAAACTTAGTCAAAACATTCGAAAAATATCACCAATAGATTAAGCCGATTTGATTACCCAAGAAAATGCAAAAGCAGATTAGAAAAAACAAATGTAAAATCGATTCCGGCTGAGTCAATGACTTGACTAGTAAAGTGCTCCCCCGAACTTTACTAGTACCATCTTTCAAAATAGCTGTTTTAAAAACAACAACCATTGCAGGGAAATTTGAATATTTAATGCTTTTTGCTTGCTTTAAAGATATTCAGTTGAATATCGAAATAGTCAATTTTTCATTTAAAAGCCTACTTAATGGAGAATTGTACATTTTCTGTAGAAAATATGGGAGTGGGACAAATGCGACCTTTTTTTTGCGCACCTGGACATTTGCGCACCTTTTTTCGGGTTTTAAAAAAGCTCTAAAAAGCTAATATTAACCAATTTCTATTCCAAAAGTTGTTTTTCTAGGTAATTTTAGGGCGTAAAATTCAAATTTTGACATAACAGAGCGTTTGGAACCAATTTGAAAGACAAAACGGCTAGATCAAATTACAGAAAATTCTCGATTTTTCTCTTTGTATAGCTCCGTCCGTTCGCTTCCACAAGCTCTGATATGTCAAAATTTCGATTCTTCGCCCTAAAATTACCTAGAAAAACAACTTTTGGAATAGAAATTGGTTAATATTAGCTTTTTAGGGCTTTTTTAAAACGCGAAAAAGGTGCGGAAAAAAAGGTGCGCAAATGTCCGGGTGTGCAAAAAAAGGTCGCATTTGTCCCACTCCCGAAAATATCCAAACTAAAAGTTATAAAAATTAAGATTCATCAATTCAAAATGTATTGACAAGAGATTCAGCGAAGAAAGCGCTTTCTTTACTTTTTTTAAAAAAAAAATGAGAGCCGCATCATTAAAGAGGTAAAGTATTTTAAAAATGATTTAATCTCAAAAAGCTACCGAAATAAAATCATCCACGCTTTAGGTTTTTCATCGTTTTGATCGCGACCTCTGTCGGTTATTTGGCATTTCATCAGACATCGGCCAGGTTTGAAAAAGATTTAGGGTAATATTTGAGGTAAAATTTTAGATTTCGAGGTGAAGAGAATGGACAGAACAGTAAACCGATCGATGTACAACAGAATCGAGAAGAGAAAAGGTGGGGAAGATGGGGGGAAAGGAAGGGTTGAAAGCTAATAGACTCGACACAGGTGAAATTTGAATTTTTTGGAGAATTGGCAATTCGATTTCGGGAATTGGTTTCTCTAAAAGGCACCTAAACTACTGTAATCGAATTGTTTTTGCGAATTGAATTAGCCCAATTTTTTTTCACATTTCGATGAGGAACTACATGGCTCAGGGAATAATACAAAAATTTGTTCACTAATTTTAAAACGGTGATTACTAGTTGAAGCGTTTAACAGGCCAAATATAAGTTTTAACTTTTCAGAATCGAATCGATGAAATTGGCCGAGTCAAATCTGAAAACCGATCATGATTTAGAGAATTCGAGGTGAAAAATTGAAGTTTTTAAATAAAATATTGAAGTTCTTAAATAAATAATTCTTGGTTTATCTTTTTAGCTGGCTGGCTGGCTGGCTATTCTTAGCTTTTTCTAAAAACTTTATCTTAGGCTTAAGCAATTTATCTTTTTTTTAAAGTAATTTATCTTTTTTTATCTTTTTAAGCAAACAAAAATGAAATTTTTCAGACAAACCCTCAAATATTTATCGCAAAGTCTCAATGAGACACCAGAACAACGAAAAACGACCACGAAAAAGAGGTGTGGAGAATTTCGGATTAAATCTAAATCTAAATTAAATACAAATTGATTTTGTGAGAATATTTAGTTTAAACAAAAACGAGATTTGCCCCGATGTGGTCGACATTCCGGATATGAATGGCGGTTTGCATCAGGCGGCACTTTTGATACAAAATTTGAAGGTATCGTTTAAAAAGTCGTTAAAGATACAGTAGGCTAATGGGTTACTGTAAGGTTTTGATGCGAAATAAAAAGTGAATTCAGGAAAACGAGGTTGCCGCCGCGCATCCCGAGGTGCAACCGGGTGGACAATGGGCGCCCAATGATTGCAAGGTGAGTGATTGGGGGGAAATTACGGAAGAAATACAATAGCCTTGGTTACTTCAAGAGCCCGATACTCCTCTAGGAGTACTGTAGAAGCATAGTAACGGTGTGGGTATTGGAATATTGAAAAATAAGGCACCTACAGTACTCTTGGCTTTGAGATAACTACCAAGACATTCAAAGACTTATACATAAGGTCAAATTGGTCAAATACTTTAGTTTACAGTGGTTCTTCTAGATTACGATATTATGGAAATAGTGCTGTGAGATTCTTAAAGCAAAGGAGTAAGCCTGTACTCTTTCTCCAAGCTATTGTACTTGTTTGAAGTACAGTACTTAGAGGATAGTTTAGAGAGACTGCACTGTCCGTTGCAAGGTTACAGTACAGTACCGGTTATAGTACTCTGTACAGTACAGTACAGTCCACCTTCCAGTCTATATCATTTCCTTCTAGGCTCGTTACAAAGTGGCCATCATCATTCCCTATCGTGATCGTCAATCGCATCTCACTCGTCTCCTCAATTTTCTCATTCCCGTTTTACAAAAGCAACGCCTAGATTTTCGGTTTATCGTTACTGAACAGGTACTTTAAATGACAGTAAGCAGTTACAGTAAATGACAGGAAACAGTTACAGTAAATGACAGTAAACTACAGTAAACAGCTACAGTAAATGACAGTAAACAGTTACAGTAAATGACAGTAAACTACAGTAAACTACCCACAGTAAACTACAGTAAACAGTTACAGTAAGGTCCTTTAATATTGAAACTATTCAGTGGGGCAACGATCTATTTAACAAGGGTCGTATCATGAATGCGGCTTTTCGTCTCGCCGAAAAATTGGGTACCAATTGTGTCGTTTTTCACGGTGAGTAGCTTATAAATATTGTTTTACAAGAAAATCGATGATGAAAAATGATTACCGTAACTAGTAAGACCAAGCAATCAAAGCCATCAAAACATTTGCAAAAAAAAAAATTTTCTTGTTTTTTGTGTAAAGCTTTTTCGAAGTATTGCTTTTGAGTGCGCAAATTTTTACTACAAAAAGGCGGAGATTGATAACTAATCGCTTAGTATTACGGTAGAACTGTAGAAGATAAGGTTACTAGATTACTGACTCAAAATCACAATTCTTCAAAGCCATTGGAAAACCAAGTACTATAAATCTGTCTCTTACAGTACTCATAGTCAGACAGTTACAGTATTCTCATTGTTAGCAGACCACCGTAGGTTATTACCCTGACTGATTACCGTAACTAGTAGCAATCAAAGCGTAACGAGCAATCAAAGCCATTCAGTAATTAAATGCAAATTTATGATGCATCCAATCATATCACAATCACTCGCTTAATAGACTTTTTAAAAAACTTTTAAAATTTCCTTTAACTTGCTCAACGTGTGAACTCTTTAAGGCAAAAAAAAACAAAGACCTTTTGCCGGAGAATTCTTCCATTTTTCACTCACCGTTAGTCTGCACCTGTCAAAAACAAAACAAGCTCACTTGAGTCAAAGAAAATGAAAAATGAAAGAGAAAATGGTGAGAAAACTCTTCTTTTTTTTTTTGAGGGAAATCGTCGACCTGCTCTTTTCGATTTTTCTTTTCTCTCATCTCTCTTTTTTTTATTCGATATTCTATTATAGTTAGATCGGTTGAGTGGGGGAAATATTTAATGAGAATTGAAATCGAATTGAACAAAAAAAAAGAACATTAGAAATATGAAAAGGGTAAAAAATGAAAGGATTGAATTGATTAAAAGAACATTTCGTTCTTTTAATCAATTCAAAAGTTTCGTTTAAGTGGTTAAAGTTTGGTTGAAATGCATAGCATAGTTTTGAAGGGATTATCGAATCGAAAAAACCATACTCTAAAAAAAAATTCTCACAAGATTGAAGCTTGATTGAAGCTTTTCTAAAAGGTACTCCAAGAAAAAAACTATCTTCCAAATGCTTAGGAAAGGATTTACAATAGAAAATAGAAAGAAAATACAATAGAAACAATAGAAAATGAGCTTATCTGTCTTTTCTATTTAGCACTAGCTGATCGATAAGGAAAGTTTAAGCGATTAAAATTCTAAAAGGTCTAAAAAGTCCTGTCTGTCTAAAAAGACAGACAGGGGTACGGTATCTTTTTAGGATACCTTTTAGAAAACACTTTGATCAATTTCAATTCTAAGGGAAACATTTAGATGTTGATATGTTTCCACAAGATGATCGAAATCCGTATTCCTGTCCACCAACTCCTCGACATATTGGAGCATTCGTCAGCAATCTTGGATATCAGTCAGTTCATTGATGAAATCACCCAGAAAATCGAATCTTTTCAGACTTTGGTACAAAGAGATCGTTGGTGGAGTGTTGGCGATATCGATGAAAGATTATAAAGCCGTTAATGGGTATTCGAATAAATATTGGGCATGGGGAGGCGAGGATGATGATATGGGTCAGTTCGGGCAAATTTCTTCTTAAACAGCTCAATATCTTCTAGCAGCTAGCTAAGTAGCACTAATAGTATCGTAATCTAACCTATTCACTTACCTGAATCCCTTCTATCGAACTCCTAAATCTGATATTGTAACTCAATGCTTCCAGGATGAATGATAGGGCTAAGAAATTCTATAACCAACACTAAGTATTACTTTTAAACACCGTAACCCATCTAATTCTTTAGGTAAACGAATCCTCTCCCTTAATTACACAATCGAGCGACCCGATCCAGCCACCGGACGTTTCAGTATGCTCAAACATGTGAAGAGGAAAAGAACGGCGCCTAAATTGATGTAAATTCCATTTTACTTACTATAAATATCGTAATTTTTAATGTTTCAGATACAAATTGTTAGAAGATTCGGATAAACGAGTGCCATATGATGGGTTGAATGAGAACGATAAATGGAAAGTCGTTAAAGTGAGTGAAATCTGAAAAATTCGTAAACTTGGATAAGACTATTAAACTCATAAAACTCATAAAGAGATAAGACTCATAAAGTACCGAATCCTAATGGAATAAATCCTAAATTTCAACTAAATTGAATGAGAACGATAAATGGAAAGTCGTTAAAGTGAGGGAAATCTCAGAAAGTCGTAAACTTGGATAAGGCTATCCATAAAGTCTCGAATTCTAATGGAATAAGTCTTCAATTTCAACTAAATTGAATGAGAACGATACATGGAAAGTCGTTAAAAGGTAAGATCTGAAAAAGTCGTAAACTTGGATAAGGCTATTCATAAAGTCTCGAATTCTAATGGAATAAGTCTTCAATTTCAACTAAATTGAGAACGTACATGGAAAGTCGTTAAATGAGTAGATCTGAAAAAGTCGTAAACTTGGATAAGGCTATCCATAAAGTCTCGAATTCTAATGGAATAAGTCTTCAATTTCAACTAAATTGAATGAGAACGATACATGGAAAGTCGTTAAAATGAGTGAGATCTGAAAAAGTCGTAAACTTGGATAAGGCTATTCATAAAGTCTCGAATTCTAATGGAATAAGTCTTCAATTTCAACTAAATTCAAATCAAATTTCAACTAAATTCAAATCAAATTCCAATCCAAAATGCAAAATACAAATGAAATTGCAGGTGTCCGTCCGTCCTTTATACTATCACATGTTTGTCGATGTTGGATCAGTGCCCGAAGAATGGAGATCAAAAGATTAAAGATGAAGATGATATTTGAGAGTATTACATTTCAAATAAGTTATTGAGGTTTCTAATTTGAGTGAACATTTCGAAATTGATAAGATTAGAAGATTAGAAGGATCATTTTTTAAAAAAACGATAGAGTTTTAGTCTTTTCTTTTCTTTTCTTTTGACTAAAGCTTTTTTCTAAAATGTTTTCTTACTCAAAAGCTATTGTAAACTGGTGGTTTTTCTGATAAAAAAAAAAACACTTAAAATAACCTCTAATTAGAGGGGATTATTGTAGTTTTAAAGTTACAATGTTTTAGAGAAGACTATTGCAGGGTACAATAGCTTTTCTAGAGTACAATAGCTAGAGGCATCTTTTAGAGAATGCATTTGCTTTAATTTCACTCAAATTTCACTCAAAATTATCAATGATCATTATCCATTTCTTTTCTAGGTTTTTCTTTCCCTTTTCTAGTCTTCTTTTCCCTCTTTCCCTTTTCCCTCTTTTCCCTCTTTTTTCCTCTTTTTTCCCCTCTATTTTCCCTATATTTTATCTAGTTTTCTAGGGTGTCTTTTTTGTTGCCAAAATCTTTATAAAAATAGTCAAAAAAATAGTCGTAAATAGTCGTAAATACTGTAATAGTCGCGTAGTCGCAAAAGTTTTTTTTTTCGTTTTTATTTTTCATTTCATTTCATTTTTTTCAAAACCCTTGTACTTTCGGGTCTTTTATCTCAAAAAATAGCTTTAAATAGCTTTAAATTTCAGCTATTTTTTGAGCTATTTCAGCTTTCAGCTATTTCAGCTATTTTTTGAGACCTAAACGAACATTATAGCCTAAACCAATGCCAAGATAAACGCATTGAAAGCTAGACTACGCAATGCTTCGCACCGTCATTAGGCGAGTAGGCTACTATTACAGTATTTACGGGATATTTTCATCTGTGTGCCTTTCAGTAGAGATAAAATTGATTTGTGCATAGATTTTCCCATTTTATTTGTCATATTCTTTTTTTTTGTTTGCATAATTTTTTTCGGTTTAAACATCATAATTCTTGACTAGTTGCGCATAATATTCTTGCCAAAATCTCTCATTTTTTTTTTATTCTTTGATGACTGTTTATTTGTGTGAATTTCTGATTGGAAATCTGTAGGCTTTACTACAGTATTTCCATGGAAAAAATTGCTATAATTTGCTATAATTTTTTTGAATATCGGTTTCTATTTGATACATTGAAACCCTCTGAGTAAAATATGGGTATTTTCACAGCTCCTCAATTTCATTTTTCTTTTCTTTGCTTTTCTGTGCTTTTCCAATTTCGAATGCTATAATTTCCTGATCACTTTTCCTTTTCAATAATTTTCATTGGCATTTACTTATCCTAGCATTATTTGAGCTTTCCGTGAAATTCCATTGAATTTATAAACTTTCAATATAATTTATCAAAAAAACATCAACAATTTGTATGAAAACTTGAAAATCCTAATTACCGTATTTTCTCTAATAGTAGTGCACCGCGGCGAGCCGAGTTGGTCACTATTTTACGGTTTCCAAGCTTTTGCAGAAGCTCAACACTCAAATCCCCCACAAGATCTCATCGTCAGCTACATTTTCCGACCCCAGATCGATAGGTTCTGAAAAGCGGTTCTCGAGATTTTGAGAAATTTAGACGAAGCTCAGGGTGCACTACTATTAGAGAAAATAGATTATTATAAGCGAGAGAGTATGCGTGTGTGTCTGTTCCGCTGTTTTAGAAAAAAACGGCTAAACCAATCGATCTGAAAGTTCGACATTACAAACCTAACTTTTTACATAGTTTCCAAAAATCTAATAATATTTGACACATAATTTGACCGTTTTTCCTAAAAGGCGAAATTAAAGAATGCATGCTACCGCGTGGTAGTGCGTCCCGGCGTCCGATCTGCCAAGTTGAGCAACGTTGGGCTCGGTTAGTCTCGGGTTCGGTCCCGGCCCAGTGCAATATGTTTTGCTTTCTTTGTTTTTAAACTTTTTGAGTAAGAAGGGTCACGGTTTCAATTCCTCTAGGGGCGAAGAAAATAAAATCCGTCTGTACAGAGCCAGAAAACTGTGTAATGTAATGTGTAATTTGTAAATGTAAAACTGTACTACAAAAATGTCTACAAAAATGTCTACAAAAATGTCTACAAAAACAAAAACTCACACCTAGAGAAGACATTGAAAAAAGTATTGAAAAAATGAAGTTAAACAAACAAAATGAAATAAGCAAATGAGAAATTGTATTGTCTTTTGGTGAGTTGAGCTATACGTACTTTCCCATTCCAGACAAATTGACATCGCTTGTCGAATCCCGGCCGCCATATCCGGTGTCAGCGTCAGATTGTAGTCCTCGTCGTTGTCATTCTTGAATGGATTCGATAGATTCGATATTTAGATAGATTTAGCAAACTTACCATTTGTTGATTTGCCACAACCTCTCCATTTCCGTTCATCATTCCCATTGGGCCAAGATTTGGCATTGAGGTGGCTGCGTTTAGACCATTTTCACTGTATTGTGAAACCATTCCCGGAAGTGATGAGGAAGAGAGGCTGAAAGATCAATTTGTTATATCAAAGTTCTTGAAGAACCAACTTGTAGGACATTCCATTCTGGAAATGATTGGGTGAGGGATTTGATGGATGAGATTGTTGGGATGAAGTTTCTCATCTATATCTTTAAAATCTTTAGGGTAACAAAGACTTTCCTAGATTGCTTTAACAAGCAGCGACTATCATTCAAAACTTTAAGACTTATTAAAACAGCAGAAGTGTTGTCTAAATGGCGAAACAACTAAACAAATTCGTTTTCTTTAGCGACAGTAACGATTCGTTCAGTGACAGTAACGTTTTTCTTTCTTTTTCTTTAGTGACAGTAACGATTCGTTTGTTAAAGATCCAAATTAAACTATGGTAATTTTGATTACATATTCTTTCTTGTTTTTTTTTTGTATTTTTAGGTTAGATTTTTAAGTCTTGTCTCCAATTTTGGATATTTACGTAGATTGAGGGAGATTCCTTCTAGAAAAGAGGCTGATGGAGTAGCATGAGAGGAAGGAGACAGGAAACAATTTTCCCCACAAAAAATCCCCCATCAAAAAGAATCCTATTCTTTTTTTGGGGAGTTGGGATATATAATCGAGGTTGAGTCTCGAGGCTCACCAGGTTGAGTCTTCTGAGAGAATATTCCATTTTACTATATTCTGAGAAGTTTTGAGACTCTAAAAGATGCTGCAAAGAGGAAACACGATTGTGACAATACCGGAGGATGGAGAAAAAGGTTTGAATGAAGAGATTGAGGAATTCGAAGGGGAAATCATTTCGATTTTTGATCGGGAATCAAGACTTTAGTCTTAAACGAAGCAAAGACTTTAGTGTTACGAGTGTAAGATCTTTTTGTATTCTGGAACTTAAGTTACAGTCTTTCAAACCCGAACTACAGTATTCCAGAGCTATCCCAGAACTCTAGTGCCCAGTTATTACAGTATACTGTAATAACTGGGTCTAGTGTAAGCTAGTGTAAGCTCTAGATGAACTCAACACCGGTCGAAAGGCTCCTCCAAAAATGACTCGTCGTTATTCATTGGTGCATCAAGCGAGCATTGAAAGATTTGCGAATGAAGGATTGAAAAGAGGGAATACGGTGAAAAGGAGACAACAATTGCAAGGAGGGATACCACATGGGAAACAGGTATTTTTTAGAAGTTTGACACTTTAAGTTTGACATTTTAATAAACGAATCCTAAACCCTGATCAGTCTATTCTCTTACATTCTAAAAATCATCATCATTCAAATCTTTCATCATTTTTGAGTCTAGAAAACCAGTTCTAAACTTTTTACGCATAAAAATTTGATAATTTTCACTTACTTGAAAAAAAAAACTCTGAAAAGATCGAGTATAAAAGAAGAAGAGTGGAAATAGGTCAAATGAAAAACCTTTTAAAACCTAACCTTCCCATGAAAATTATGAAAATGAAATGGAAAGGAAAAAAGGTAAGTTATCGATATTACCGTATTTCTTCGAAGAGCCGGGTAAAGTAGATCGCGTACCCTGCGTAGCAGCCCTTTTTAAATTTCTCTGCATAAAGCTTTCAGTCAGGCTATAGAGCTGGAAAATGGCTCAAAATCTGTTAGCTCATGTCGTATTTTTGAGTCATTTCTCCAGACTTTGATTGAAGGATTGAGAAGAGAATTGGGGTGGATCATATTAATATTTTTTTAAATAAATCTAGCTATCATTCTAGATTTTGCAACGTTTAAACGACGAGGGAGTGGATTTGATTTGGGCGGCCGATTGCACGAGTCGCATTCATTTTGCCGCCATTTTGACGAGCTCAGGTATTAAACGAAATCATTAACAATTTCTAGTATTTCTACAATTTCTAGTTTCTGATATTTCTAGCAAAATTCTAGGTGAGATCCCTTGTTTCATGCGAACAATTCTCGATTCATTCACCAAAAATGGGATATCGATTGAGCATTTGGAGACACGGCCACATAAAAGAAAACAAATGAAAACGGGAATGGAAAAAGCGGCAGATGGTTGATTTTTATTAAGTAGATTTTGATGTTTTACTGTATTTTGAAACTGTTACTGTAACTATATTACTACAGAAATTCGGATTGTTAGTCATAGATTTGAGTACCGTATTTTCTCTAATAGTAGTGCACCGCGGCGAGCCAAGTTGGTCACTATTTTACGGTTTCCAAGCTTTTGCAGAAGCTCAAGATTCAAAACCCAACTAGATCTGATCGTCAGCTACATTTTCCGACCCCACATCAATAGGTTCTGATAAGCGGTTCTCGAGATTTCGAGGAATTTAGGCGACGCTTTGGGTGCACTACTATTAGAGAAAATACGGTACTTGGCCAGCTGGCCGATTGGTTAAGGAGCCTTGTCTCTTCAGCGGAAGGTCGAGGGTTCAATCACGCTGGCAAGATAAGGCAACATCACACTTTACTTGATCTCATTATCAGCTACCTCACACCAACTAGATCTCATTATCAGCTACCTCACATCGATAGGTTCTGATAAGACGCTTTAGGTGCACTACTATTAGAGAAAATACGGTATATTACTACAGTATTCGTACAATATTGATAAAGTCATCATACTCTTACACTTTTATACTTACTTCTTTACTTACTCTTTACTTATTCTTTACCTTTTTTTTGATGCAGTAAAAAGGGTCCAACATTTAGGCTGGGATATCATCTGTGAGTGTGTTGCCACGAAAGATCAACTCCTCGCTGCGGCGACAGAATTGGTGACATCACATGAAGATTTAAAGAATATTTCAATCTATAAATCGGATAAAGGAGAAGAAAGTGAGATGGGTTTGATCATGAGAACTAAAAAGCTTGTCTATCTGTCTATCTCTCGCCCAGCTAGATAAAATGAAATTGCAGTCCCTTGGTTTCCCCGTCACATCTCGGAATTGGATCAATGCTCAAAATGTGTCACCAAATATGAGCCAACAACTGATCCAAGACATCCAGTAAATAGATAAAAATAAGATTTTGCGACATTTGATACGCGCGCCCCTTCGCCATTGGCTAACTTTAAGCTCAAATTTCTTGGTATTGGGCTGTTCAATTGAAATAGTTTTTGTACGATAGAGAAAGACTTGCCGCATTCAATTATACCAATAATTTATAAATTGGATAGCTCAACACCAAGAAATTTAAGCTCAAACTTAGCCAATGGCGAAGGGGCGGGCGCACGTATCAAATGTCCGATAACTAAAAAATCATGGTTAGGGCCACGGTGATGCGACTTATATTGCCCGTCGACAATTCCTCAACGATCAAGCAGTCAATTTTCGACATGGAGATCCGATTCCATATGTCGAATATACAAGTGGGTTGAATAAGAATAAAGAAATGAAGTAAAATCAAGAAATAAAGTGAAAAGAACGCAAAGCTCAAAAACCAGATTACTTTAAGCTTTCCAAAATTTAGAAGAAGAGCACGCAACATGGAAAGCTGTGTACGAGAAGTTGAAAACTCTACATGAAAGTCATACATGTCTTTCCTATCGAAAGAATCTCAAAATGTTAGAAGAAGAAGGAGTTTTGACAGCAGAAAAAATACCACAAATTGTTGATGTGAACAAATATTTGATGAGTAAGTGATTAAGGAAGAGATTAAGGAAGAGGTTAAGGAAGAGATTAAGGAAGAGATTAAGGAAGTGATTAAGGAAGTGATTAAGGAAGTGATTAAGGAAGTGATTAAGGAAGAGGTTAAGGAAGAGGTTAAGGAAGAGGTTAAGGAAGAGATTAAGGAAGAGATTAAGGAAGAGATTAAGGAAGTGATTTATAGTCAATGACTCTATTCACTGTATTCAATACTTTTCTAGTATTAGTATATTAGTAAAAGCAATTCTTCAGGGAAGACCGGTTTTATGCTTCGTCCATGCAGTGGTTTGTTATCTGCTCGTGATTTCTTGGCCAGTCTGGCTTACCGTGTTTTTCAGGTACTTCAACCGCAGCTTATTGTTAGGAGAAAGTTACCGTAATCCCATTTAAATCAAATTTCAAAGATTACCAAGCAACAGCTGAAAAGAAGATAGCTTAAACTCTTGTCAATTTATAAAATAGTAACCAATTTTTCAGACAACAACCTATTTGCGTCATCACGGCTCTCCGCATCACTCGCCTGAACCCGATTTAGTGCATGGTTGGGTAATTGATCTGAATTTTAGATAAATATAGTTAAACCCCATGATTTCTATTTCTATTTCTATTTCTATTTCTATTTCTATTTCCATTTCTTTTATTTTCAGAACTTCTTGGCCATGTTCCAATGTTTTCCGATCCATTGATCGCTCAAATGAGCCAAGATATTGGATTGATGTCATTAGGGGCAACGGATGATCAAATCGAGAAATTGGCTACAGTATGGTTTATTGAATCAGATAGATTAACGCACTTACCGTACTATCCAGACATACTACCGTATCCCAATCAACTAACAAGAGAAGGCCAACTGGCTGAGCCGGTCAAATCCTTTGCCACCTAAACCATTCGACGCAGAATTTTATACTGATTCCGAATATGTATTCCGTTTTTGCTAAATGACAATCTGCCAGGAGTTAGAGTTTTGTTAGGACTTTGAAAATGTGGTCATTTGAGTTTTAGCGGGGTGTTAGCGGCCTCTTTGCGGACCAAACTCGGTGCAGCCGGGGCCGAGTGGTACAGCCTTCGTTTCCAAGGCGAGATTTCACAAGTTCCATCCCCACTTTTGCTTTTTTTCAAGAGTTCCTGGCTAGTGTTGTAAATATTTAAAACTTTCAGGTTTACTGGTTCATAATCGAGTTCGGTTTGTGTCGAGAGGACGGAAAATTGAAAGCTATTGGAGCTGGGCTACTTTCAGCGTATGGAGAATTGATGGTGGGAATGATTGGGTGAAGGGTTTAGAATGGCTTTACATAGTGTTATTTTAAAAGTTAAGCAATTGAAAAGCTAGTCAGATTTCTCTCTTTTCAGCACGCTTGTTCCGATGTTCCCGATCATAAAGAATTCGATCCTCGTGTGACCGCCGTTCAAACATATGAAGATAGTGATTATCAACCATTATATTTTGTCGCTCATTCACTACAGGATGCGCTTATTAAATTACGGTAAGAGGTTGACAGACAGACAGGCGGACAGACAGACGGACAGACGGACAGACGGACAGACAGACAGATAGACAGATAGACAGACAAACAGACGGACAGACAGACACTGCTCTTTATATACAGTAGATAGCTTTGAATCGCCATCAATTGTTGCAGTGAATACGCTTCCTCGATGCCTCGTTCCTATGGTGTAATCTACGATCCATTAACCCAATCAGTTCGGCTCATCAAAAAAGTCGAAGATGTGGCGCCGGCATTTGAACGGTTTGCAAATTTTCAACTCGATTTCTACCGTATTTAAACACCGTTTAAACAGTTAAATTAAGTTTCTCATTGATCCAAACACAGTCAGAGTGCTTAGAAAACGCTTTACCTAGCTGCAGTGGGGTTACCTAAAGTCAGACTCGGCAGTGAAATAGGGCAGTCATGCAGCCTTTTACTGGGCAACTTTTAAAAACCGTTTTGTTCAGTGAGAATTAGACATGGGATGGGATGGGATGGGGTTAGATATCGCACAATTCATTTAAAGAAATTTTGCTTGAAAAAAACGACTGGATAAGCTGAATAAGCTGAGTAAGCTGAATATCTTTAATGAAATCTTTAAGAATTTTATTTTGCAAACCTTTTTAAGATATTCAGTCAACGAATTTTGTTTATAAGTGCGAGTTTCTGGAGTTGAGCTTGGCTTAAAGTTGAGCATTAAGCATTTATCAAATGCATTTTTGTATAGTTGAGAGTTAAATCTTTCAAAGATTTCAAAGATTACAAAGATTTCAAAGATTTCAAAGATTTCAAAGATTTCAAAGATTTCAAAGATTTCAAAGATTTCAAAAGATCCCCATTTTTAAACTTGTGTAACCATCGATCATTTAGTTTTGATTCATTTGACTTTTGTTATTTGATCTAGAGTTTGGCTTAAAGTTGAGCATTAAGCATTTATCAAATGCAAATCGCATCAACATGCTGAATGTGCTTATTTGGTAAATTTCTACTAATCAATAAAAAAAGTTAATAAAGAAATGAGGGAAATCTGATGTCTTTTTTGATGAATTTGTTGTCTTTTAAACGCTGAAGATCAACTAAAATATCATTTTTATGCCAAAATTTCTTTTCTTTGCCGCCACTTTTAGGCTAACCCAATATTCTTGTATTATTGTAAATAATTAAAAGAAAAAAAAAGCTTATTTCGTTCTGCAATGAGTAGCGTAACCCTTTTCATATTCGAAATTTCAGTTTTCACTTGGATCTCTCCGGAATCATGCAATCACTCCATGTCGGCAATCGAACAAAAGCATCTAATTTTTCAAAGTAACGATTTAGCTTCTCATTTAGTCTATTTTTATTTTTTTTATATTTATCTAGCTATTTATAATTAGAAAATTTTGTAATCAAAACAGTTGTAATAAAAACTTTTTTAAATTTTAATTTCTCTGGCATTCTGAGAGTCGTTAAAGCCCAAAAAATAAATCATTTCCCTTTTTTTTTCTCCTTTTTCTCGTCTTCTTTTAGATTATATCACTCTTATTACTTCCGGGAAAAAGAAAAAAAATATTTTTAAGAAAAGCAAAGAATAAAATGAAATTAGAAGTGTTTTAGAAGTAGAAGTAGAAGTAGAAGTTAGAAGTAGAAGTAGAAGTTAGAATAGAAGTTAGAAGTAGAAGTTAGAAGTAGAAGTAGAGGTTAGAAGTAGAAGTAGAGGTTAGAAGTAGAAGTTAGAAGTAGAAGTTAGAAGTAGAAGTAGAAGTTAGAAGTAGAAGTAGAAGTTAGAAGTAGAGAAGTAGAAGTTAGAAGTAGAAGTAGAAGTTAGAAGTAGAAGTTAGAAGTAGAAGTTAGAAGTAGAAGTTAGAAGTAGAAGTAGAGGTTAGAATTAGAAGTAGAAGTTAGGATTAGAAGTAGAGGTTAGAATTAGAAGTAGAAGTTAGAAGAAATTAGAAATTAGAAGTGTTTATCAAGTGTACTTATGGTTAAAACAAGCATAAATGCTTAAAATTTGTAAACATATTCTTTCAGTTCGTTTTCGCAAAATTTGCACTCAAGTTATTGAGCTATTTATTTGCACAAGGGAACTCTTGAAAGCCTGTTCAAAAAAAATCATAGAACAGATTCAAGAGTTTAGGCTAAAATCCCCAGCAATGATCCAAAAAGGAAAGGCAATGCTAGAGCTTTGTCAGAGTTCATAGATTCAACGTTTGGTTAGGCTAAAGATAAAGAAAAATGGATAAAGAACAAACCAAATTCCACAAAAGAGGATTATCAGTAACGCATCGCAAAAAAAACAAATCATTTTTCTATTCAATTCCCATTTTTTTTCTTCAAGAAAAAAAGGAACTCTTAAAAACGAGAGTAAAAAGAAATTTACAATGTTTACAAATTCTCATTTTTCCGGCAAGAGTCCGAAAAATCTCCTCTCGAAAAAGTGCAAAAAAAAAAAGTAACAAGGATGCATTTTTATTTCCTTAAATTTCTCATTTCAATATAAAAACAGGAGAAAAGACGAAATTGAGTAGGGGAAATCTGAAATTTCATTTGATTTCATTTGATTTCATTTGAAAATTTGCAAAACAAACGATTGGGTTTTAAAAATTCATTTATTTTGAAGCTTTCAGTGCAATAGATTTCTTTCGTTTGAGCTTTCGTTTGAGCTATCGTTTGAGCTTCGGTTTGAGCTTTGGTTTGAGCTTTGGTTTGAGCTTCGGTTTGAGCTTCGGTTTGAGCTTTGGTTTGAGCTTTGGTTTGAGCTTCGGTTTGAGCTTTGGTTTGAGCCTTCGTTTGAGCTTTCGTTTCAGCCTTCGTTTGAGCCTTCGTTTGAGACTTCGTTTGACCGTCGACTCATCTTGTCATCTTGTAAACGCACACCTTTTATTCTTTTGAACAGAATTTTACTCTTCTTTGTGCTTTATTTTGTTCAATCAAAGGCTTAAACGCATCCTTTCTAGTGCACTGAGTACTTGATTTTCTTGATTTTTCTTCAGATACCTATCAATTAAAGTAGAAAAAAAATGAGTCCACTAGAAGGGATGGATGAAAGTACAAAGTAAACAAGAAGTACACAAGAAGGGATCAGCTTTTTCAATCTATTTGATTGCTTGAATTGCTGAATAATTATTTTTAATTTAATTTGATCGCTGAGGAATTTTTGAGCTCGATCATTGAATCTATTTTCCGAAAAAAAATCGAATTTTCAGAATTTCAGAGAATTTTCCCATTTCGATTGGATCAAAAATGGATTGGAAATGGAATGAGTAAGGGTTTTTGAGAAAAAAAACAAGGAAAAGATGACAAATGAATGGAAAAAAACAAAGATTTTCCTTTTTGTGATCATCATTTTCGAGTTTTTAAGAAAATGATCACAATTTTTCCGAGTAATCACTTTTTGAAACAACTTTTCATAAAGAAAACTACAAAAAAAAATGATTTATAATCTTTTGCAAGTTCAAAAGTTTATGTAAATCTGAAATATAAATAAGATTCAATAAGAATTTGAGAACTCTTGCAAATTCGGCTTTGGCTTTTTGCTGTACGCTGGCCTTTGTAGTTCTTTGAAGTATTTGTTTAAGAGCAAAATGTTTACATTGATTTACTTTAAGTTATCTACCCGAGTTTATTCCTTAAATCTTTTCCTAAACTTTTCAACCAAAGGAGTTCTAATCAAGTCCTAGTCTAGATTAGAACAGAGCCAGCTCCAGATCTAAGACTTGGCTTTTGCTGTGCTCTGACCCTGGTTGTATGTTGATTCACCAAAATTCAAAAGATTTTTAAAAAAATACTTTTTTGATTGCTTGATAAAACTGTGGTAAAAGTACAGTAGTCAAGAAAACAGACAGTTTTAGAATGAAAATCTTTTTAAAAGAATGAAAAGACTCAAAAAAATGAGTTGAGTAGTTTTTTCTCAGCTCAGCTTTCGATATACTACTCACTAAAAATTGTTGAAAACAAAAGGCTTCAAGTGTTTCACGTTTCACCTTTTTTTTCCTTATTTCTAAGGAAGGGTTATCTTTTTGGTTTCCTTTGGGTCAAGCCCCTCCTCTGCCCCTTTCCCTCTTTCCTTGAAGTGTTCCCCTTTCCATTTCTCCAATTGAACCAACCGAATTGCTTTTTCTTGCTTCTCCTCCCCGAAATCAGAAATCTCTCCCTGAAACCATTCATTATTTCGGGGAATTCTCATTTTTACCTTACTTTTTTTTGGCATTAAACTTTAAGGAGTTTACAGAATTTTTGAAATCTGAAAAAGTGATTCTGTTGCTGCTTAATCATTTAAATTTCCTTGGTTTCACATTTAATTTAATTCAATTCAATTCAATTCAATTCAATTCAATTCAATTCAATTTAATTCAATTCAATTCAATTTCAGCATTTTTGTTTTCTTGTCCATTTTTGGGCATTTCATCTTTCATTTAACATTTCCAGGAATCGAATTTTCCCTAAAAATTATTCACCTCATAACTCACATGCTCTCGTTGTCGTTTAGAATGGAAATGATCTTTGGGGGGAAATGAGGGAAATGACCCGTTCATTCATATTTAGTCTTTTGACTTTCCTGATGATAACTATATGTTTTCTTAGCAAAATTACTTGTAAAAGAGGTACTATATTATAGATATGGACAAGTTGGCTATAAAACAAGTTGGCTATATAGATTTTCTTTTTTTCTTGTCCATTTTTGGGCATTTCTTTTGAGCATCAATCTTGTGTACCTAGTCAATCTATTTGAAATTAAGCCTAAATCTTTCTTCTAATTTGTTTCTTCGAATTCGAATTAAGCCTAAATCCGAATTTCTTGAATTCTTGGAAAGCCGAGAAGCCGAGAAATTTTATAGCCAACTTGTCCATATCTATATACCTCTTTTACAAGAAATTTTGCTAAGAAAACATATAGTTATCATCAGGAAAGTCAAAAGACTAAATATGAATGAACGGGTCATTTCCCGCATTTCCCCCAAAGATCATTTCCATTCTAAACGACAACGAGAGCATGTGAGTTATGAGGTGAATAATTTTTAGGGAAAATTCGATTCCTGGAAATGTTAAATGAAAGAGAAAGAAGAAGCTTTGGTATCGGCTGATAGCTGTCCGTAATAATATCAAAAAGTTGTTACCATTACCGTTTGATATTTGCCATTTTTCGCTTTCTTTCGAATTTCAGATGGGCATTCAACTGATCGAGCACAAGTTTCCCTTTCCATTTGCAGCTTTCTCTTTCTCCTTTTATTTTTCATTAAAATTCATCCTGTATCTTTCTATTTTCGTCCGTTTTCTTTTCTAAAATCTACCGGAAATGCATTTTTTTGACATCATCAAGACTTAGAATTGATTGACAAGACATCACACATCATCAAGACTTAGAATTAGGCCTTCCAACTTATCTAGACTAAACCCAAACACAAGAGATCTATTGAAAAGAAATCTTTTTTTCTTTCAAACTTTACTTGGGCTTAAAAATGGAAGTGGTTGTTAATGTTTGATCAAGAAGAAGTGGTTCTTCTTGATCTTGAAGTGGTTGTTAATATCTGATCAAGAGGAAGTGGTTGTATAATGTCTGACCATCGTATCGGCAATAAATCGACAACTATTATTGCATTAAAATTCTCATAAACTATCGTTTTGCTTCAAAAACTTTCAACCTAAAAACTTAAAAACAACGAAAATTGATCAAAGTTCACCTTTCTTTCTCAAATTTAGCTAATTTTTAACTTGTTTTTCGTTTAAACCTTCTTGAATCAATCTTTCTTTTCAGGAAAACAAAAAGACGATTCATTATCACAAAATTCTTTTTGTTTTATTTTCTAAAAAATGGATTTATTATTGATCTATGTAATCGCTGAATGCATTTTGGCTATTCATATCACTTTATCGAATTTCATTGTTCTTTGGGTGTACGCGAGGACAAGGTGAGAGGAATTATATCAGCATTCAAATACAAAATGTTATTGCATTCATCTTTTAGCAAATAGTGTAAGAAAAGAATTTACAAAAACGAGGGTTGTTGCAAACAAATCCTAGGGAAGGGAAGGTCAGAAGAGGCCAGAGCTGGCTTCTAACAGGCCAAGGCTGGCTTCTAACAGGCCAGGGCTGGCTTCTAACAGGCCAGAGCTGGCTTCTAACAGGCCAGAGCTGGCTTCTAACAGGCCAAAGCTGGCTTCTAACAGGCCAAAGCTGGCTTCTAACAGGCCAGAGCTGGCTTCTAACAGGCCAGAGCTGGCTTCTAACAGGCCAAAGCTGGCTTCTAACAGGCCAAAGCTGGCTTCTAACAGGCCAAGTGCTCCTTGTTTGCCAGACTTTGCAATAAAGCCAAGCCAATCCTACTACAGCTACGGTAGCCCAGCCGTGATTCTCATCTTTCAATTCTCTTAATATTCTTTCTATTTCTTTGTATTCTCATTTAGTCGAAGCTTACTGTACTCAAATCGATTTTGTAGATTGATTTCATTCATTCTAAATTTCCATTGATTCCAAAAAACAAATTTACTCATTTTCCTGATAAAACTAATAATCGAAAGGTTTTTTTTGTCGTAAATTGCGCGTGATTTCTTTCGTTAAGGAGATTCATTCGAGCAAATTTCTTTCTTTTCTCTCTCAAATACGGGAAATTCGAGCTGAATGGGAAAATTTTTGAGTCGAAAGTCAAAAAATCTTTCGAAAAATTAGCAAATGGTTGTGTGGAGTTGGGAATTGTAAAAAAAAGAAACATTGGTAGAATTAATTGCAAAAAAACTTAACTTCCCAACTGGGGTTGTTCGACTGGAGAAGCGTTTTACCGCTTGGCCATCAATTTCTCTTGACTGGCCGAGTGGTGTTAAAAGTGCTTTGTGCTCACAAATTCCGTGAACTTACCCTTTCTGGTGCACCGAAAACTTCAACTGTTTTTCCTTTTATATCGAAAAGATTACAAAAATTTCGCTTTAAAGTTTGATTTTGAGCATATTCAAATCTCAAATCAATCTTGATCATTTGATTGGCCCAATTTTGAGTGTAATCCTTTTTCCACGCCACAAAAGCCATTTGTCATTTGTCATTTGTCATTTAAGCTGTTGAAATGAGAAGAAAAAGATCGAAATTTTATTTAAAAACAGAATATCTTCAGTTTTTTTGAGAGATCTTTGAGAGAAAAGAGCAAAACACAGAAAATTTTGTTTTCTCTTGTTCATTTCTTACCTTGCCTTTGATTCGTTGTTTGATTTATTGTGAAATTCGATGGAAATAATGCGATTTTTTTTTGTTGCGTTTAGAGAAAAACCCACGAAAAATAATTTTTAAATGAGATTTGGAAAAAAAAAGAAAGAAAAGGAAAAGGAAGAAAAGAAAGAAAAGAAAAGAAAGAAAAGAAAGAAAAGAAAGAAAAGAAAGAAAAGAAAGAAAAGAAAGAAAAGAAAAAGAATGGCTCAAATGAAAAGTGTAATTTGTGTGGAAAGTAGGAAAGTTGGAAAGTTCTGTATGAGGAAATGATGAAATTCGGGTACTTGTAGATTAAGGTACGATTTTCAATTTGCATAGATAAACACTAAAAATGGTTTCTCTTCAACTTTTAAAAGTCTTCAAGTCCGATAAGGGCTCAGGAAGGGGGTGGGACAAATGCGACCTTTTTTTGCGCACCTGGACATTTGCGCACCTTTTTTTTTGCTGGAAAAGGCCTTAGGAAAGGTCGTAGAGCTTCAAAAATGTTTTCATAGAAGGGAATCGTATGCGTAGATTCCGCATTTCGACAAATCAGACCTCGCTGACACGTCAAATTTGGGCTAAAAGGCAAAAACTGCGGAAAAGCGTTAAGTTGCGTAGTTTTTGCCTTTTAGCCCAAATTTGACGTGTCAGCGAGGTCTGATTTGTCGAAATTCGGAATCTACGCATACGATTCCCTTATATGAAGTCCCACCCCCCTCAGGAAAGGCGCCTAAAAGTATCCATTCTTTAGAAAAACTCTAGCCAATTTATATTATTTTTCTGTTATTCTAAAAGTGTTAGCTTTTTGAGAAACTATCGTAATTTTTGTTGTAGCTAAAGATAATATTATAGATAGATAAATTAAGGACAAGATTATGATAGTTTTCAAAAATTGGCACATTGTAGAAAAAAAAACTCAATCTTTCACCAATGACGTCAAGAGGTTTCCCTTGGAAAAACCCATGCACATTTTGATTCTTTGGACGGAGAGAGTTCTTCGAAATCGCTCTTTTTTTTCAGTAACATTTTCTCTTCAACTAAAAATGGTTCAATTTCCGTTTCCCTTCAGAAAATAGGATTCATTCCGTTTCTTTTCGCATTAGAAAATGGGAAAAGAAACGGAATGTCTGAAGACAAAGAAAAACAAACTCTTTTACTTTAAAGTCTTTGAAAAAAAAAAAAAAACTTCTTTTCCCAAAAAAAAAATCTCTCAATTCCCTCAAATTCAATGTTTTTTCATTTAAAGATTTGGATAAGCAAAGAAAAATTGCATTTGAAAATATAAAGGTCAAGTTTTTAGGCGAACTAAACTTAAAGTACTGCAAAGATTTACTTTCTGATGAATAATAATCATTTGTAGATCGGTTCGAACGGTGACAAACACGTATATTTTCTCATTAGCGCTCACCGATTTTCTCTCGGGACTCGTTGGTGAGTGTTCTTGCTTGTTTTTGCTTTAAAATCAAATCAAATTCCTGTATTCTTTTTTTAATATCCCAGAAAAAAAACAAAAGAAAACTATTCAATTTGACAACTTTTGAAGTTTTGATGTTATTTTGTATTTTTTGTAAGTAATCTTGTTGAAAAGAGCAGATTTTTGAAAGTTTAAACGTTTCTAAAAGGATTTTAGATTGAGTTGAGTATATTTTTCGATAAAAATACTTTGGAAAAGATAACATACTTCTGGGAATCTGTAAACAAACAAAAAAAATACAATACAGATACAGAGAAAAAGAAGAGGATTGTTCTTTTTCTATAGCTTACTAATAGACATAGCAATAACATGTAAAGAGTTAGTTTTTAATAGAATTTGATAAGTTGATACTTTTTTAGAATTGATTATTGACTAAAATCCAATTGACTTGACTGACTGACTTGATTGGATTGATTAAAATCCAATTTTCAGGTATCCCAATCACAATTTGGTCGGTGCTCACCCGTCAACCCTCAACATATCTTCCTTGTTTAGCCGTTCATCTTTTGTTATGCGTTTTCTGCACAATTTCCACTTTTCACATGCTAGCCATTGCGATTGATAAATATGCGACAATTTGTTGTAAAGATCGTTTGTTTAACTCGAGAAGAACGAGGTGAGATCATGGATTGGATTGGATTGGATTGGATTGGATTGATTGGTTGGTGATTGGATTGGATTGATTGATTGATTGGTGATTGGATTGGATAGTGGAAAGAAAACAGTTTTCTCAACCACACTAGGTATCCGGTTCTAGTACTAGTCAAGCCAATATCAAAGCCAAGTCAGAAAGTAATTCACTAGGTTACTCATAGAGTCTAAATGAAGTCTCATTGTAAAATCTCATTGTAGTGTTTGTTCTGTAAGTGAATCAAAAAGTTACAGTGCTAAGAGTGCCTGTCTTGTGGATTTGAATTCATCCATTCATCGAAATACTTTCCTTTTCAGAGCTCTCATCTTATTATGGAGTTCATGGATAGCCGGCACAGCGATCGCCGCAGTTCCCCTATTTGATTTCTTTCAACTCTCTAGGTACAATGAAATCCAATCTTTAAATGATCAATCTGATTTTAGAGAATCGAACTTCAAAGGTGAATGCCATTTCACCGAAGTGATGGACTATCGCTATCTCGTTTATATAATCTTTTGCGGGACAATTCTTATTCCATCTGTTATCATCACTTTTTGTTATATTCGGATATATTCAACGATAAGTGAAGAAGAGAAACAAGTTGGGAACATAAAAAATGAAATAATTTTGATATTTTTTGATATTTTAGGTAACTTTTATGTTAAATCGTTTGGAAAGAGAGAGACGATTGGGGAATAGAAGGAAATTGATTAGGACATTGCTGATTTTGGTTTTCACATATGGAGCTTGTTGGTGAGTTTGAGAATCGTTTTTGGAAAAGCTTCATTTAGAGTTGGTTTGTATTTATTTTACTACAGTATTTAAAGGGTTTTGTTTTTTGAAAGTTGCGCTGAAAGGAATACTGTAGTGGGAAAAGATTAAAGTGTGATCTTTGCTCGAAATGAAATTCACAATTCATTGTCAAAGTTGAAGTCAAGCTTTGATTTTTGAGCAGAGTTGAAAGAGCTACCAGTATTCTGTATTCTGTCCGCATTTCAGGTATCCTCTCTACTTAATCAATACCTGGGATTTCATTCTTCCCAACATCAATTCGGGTCCATTTCTCACTCTCTCGGCTGTTGTTTTATCTCATGTGAGTTGCGCGGCGAATCCTCTCATTTATGCGTATGGAATGCCCGGATTCAAAAAGGTACAAAAGATCAAATATTTGAAAAAAAAAGTGATGATTAAGGCTTTGCGAATGTTTTTCAATCGAAATTTGGAAAAGGGAAAGATTTGCACGAGATTATCACCAACAAGTACACAAAGGACATTGACAGTGAAAGCGAAAGAGGGAAGACCGTATTCGAGGATGTCCGGTGAGTGAGAGGAAAAATGTATTTATTTGAATAAAATGAAAGTAGTTAAGATGGAATTGGTTCTGTAGAATTGGTTTTTTAAAAGCTTCAACGTATACTTGATGAAAGTTTTCCTTTGAAACATGAACATCGATGTTCTACTCACTATCAGATCAGGCTGTAAGCCAGACAAGACAAACTGGAGCAGGTCAAAAGCCATGTTCAAGTCTGATTCCGATCGATTTGGATATTTCGAATAATCCAATTCGAATCCGATCAATTTCAGCTTTCAGATTACGATCGGAAACAGAGTGTGCCTGTTTGTCGACACGAAAATCACTTTCTCTCAGTCAATCGACGGAAAACGGTTGATTGTTGTGTGAGATGAGAAGAAAAAATGACAACAACAATGCTTTTCTTTCATGTTTAGTTCAATAAATTATTTTGTCTTTGTAAAAAAAGTGACGAAATATTTTGTACAAAGGAACGCATGAGTTTGGGATTAACTCTAAAAAGGAACTCTAAAGAAAGTCCCGACTACCGTAACTCCTGTTAATCCAAGCCCTTGTGGATCTTGGACACTCAGCTAGTTACAGTTACGGTAGTTCTACGGGATACTATAGAACCAGGAAACTATAGAAATGGGATTTACAATGGAGACAAAGAGCAGTTAAATTTACATGTGATTCACATCAAACTAGCATTTAACAATCATTTAAAAGAAAAGTTCAGTGAATGGCGAATCATTTCCTATCTTCACAACTATCGAATTTCTGCTCATCGAAACGAAATGGATGTACGATCGAGGGATCATCGAAAATGTAAGTGATTTGTGAATTTTGTGGTTTTGCCAATTTTCGTTTACTTTATTTTTTAACTTAAACGGGGGTAATTGTTTTGTTTTGAAGCTGTTGATGGGGGTGGCTACTTTGCGCCAAATTTGTTTGCACTTGTTGAGATCTACATTTGTAGATCTCAACAAGTGCAACAAAATGACACCAAAACCATAAAGATTGGCCCAGTTAGAAGAAAGTTATGGCGAGTTGTGCAAACAAATTTGGCGCAAAGTTGTTGATTTATTGATTGATGTCCCCCACTGTTGATTTATTCTTCTTTTAGCTGGCACTTTACCGACTGGGATCATCGTCACAATTGTGATCGTGATTGCGATAGCTTTTGCCGTGATCCTTATCAGTACCATCGTTGGAATTGTTTGCTGGCGGTGGAGACGAGCAAAAGCAAAAGCCGAATTGAACAAAGAGTGACATTTTTGTGCTTGTTTTAAATTGTAAATCTTTTAGGGATTACGATCCGAAGCATGGCGGGATTTCGGACAAATCGAATCGCGGAATGTTTAAAAAGGTAAAACTTTCATTTTTTTAATAGAAAGGAAATCAGTCAGGCTTTACTTGTTATTTGATTAAAATCATAACTA